TTTTTTATCAAAGGCACCTATGATTTTAGTGCTTAGTTCACAGGCTGCCATTTCTTTGTTAGAATTTTCCTAAATCCAAAATGTTCTTTCACTAGTATGTTGTTATTAATTACATTTTCAAGCAGTCAATGGAAACATCCATTCTATCACCTTTTTTAAACAAGAGTTTTACTATGGAGTACTTTAGGTATTGAGGTAAGTCCCTTGATAAAAGGTATGCATTACATATATGATTTAGAAGTGAGGTAATATAAGCAGAGCTGATTTTAACGCATTCAGGACCGGAGGGGCCAATTGGCCCTCTACGTTTCTAGAGCATTGCTGACCAGGTGGGCCAATTGGCCATTTTCTGATGCGTTATTTTGCAACCGACTATATCTCGCTGTGTGGCCACGTTGCATCATAACTACTGAGTAGTTGACCTCGGGAATGTTTGCTAGCTTAGCCATTAACATGATCACGCTCATTTCCTGTCACACCCTAAAGAAAAAAGCCTTTGTTTGAGTCCAAGCTTCCACATATGAACCAGGAAGTGAGCAGTGCAACATGGATCAGAGACGAAAGCAGTTGCAGGTGAAGTATTCTCTTGGAGAACAAGAAATATTAGATTTGTTCTCCGATGAGCTAACAGATTTGCCAACTGCTTCGTCTTCTGATAGCAAGGCCAGCCTCAGTGAAAGTGACAGTGACAGGGGCCACAGGGCCCCCCAAAATATTGTGTCCAGTGAAAGTGAGAGCTCCGATGAAAGTGCGAGTACCGGGACAGCCACATGGGGTAAAGTGGTCAAGGAAAGTACGTACCTGTGGTACAATTAGGGTGAACAGAGGCCTTCCTTCAGATCTGAAAGAGGAATGTAAATGCCTGAAATGTGGTGACACCACATTCAGGAGGAAGGGGGACATTCTTCTTCAGTCCTGGAGGGAGACTCGCGTTGTGAATATGGTTTCCACTATTCACAATTCGAGTATGGTTATGTTCAGAGATGCCACAGGCAAGTGAAGAAGCCTCTTTGTATTTCCGACTGTAATATCTTCATGAAGGGAGTTGATAGGGCCAACCAGTACTTGGCCTATTATTCCCTTCCTAGGAAAACAGTAAAATGGACAAAGAAAGTTGCACTGTGGCTTATAAACTGTGCACTTTTCAATTCATTTTCGTTTTTCAAAAAGGTGAACAGAAATTCTACTTTGAAATACAAAGCATTTCTGTTGAACTTGGCAAAAGCTTGGGTTACTGACCTCATGGTGGTGGCAGTACCTGCGTCAGACACAGACGTAGTGCAGCCAGGGCCATCTGTTCGCACCTGCCGGAGGCCTCATGTGGACCCCCCTGGACGACTCTCGGGTGATATGCGGAAACATACCCTCATGAGAATTGAGAAGAGTGAACATTGCAAGAAGAAGTAACCTTCTAGGCAGTGCTGTGTGTGCGCAGTCCACAAGAAGAAGAGGACTGCGTACATCTGCAACTTCTGCGTGATGCCTCTTCACAAAGGGGAATGTTTCCAGAGATATCACATGCGCAAGCACTTCTAGGAGCTCTGGTAAGTGTTCTCCAAAAATTTTAGTTCAAAAAATTAATTAGGAGATTTTATATTAATTTTTAAAGTGAACAGTGCACAAGTTAGGGAGCTAGGCTTAAAAACCCCGGTCCACAGGGTAATTTAAATATTTAAACGAATGGTCCGCAATGTGTTAAGTAATTTAGTGAATATTTCATCATATCCACATGGATTTTTAAATTTAAGGGATTTAATGATGTTTTCAATTTTCTTTGTTGTTGGAAATTTGAGTGGTATGTTCAGAAAGTAGCCAGCTAGTGCGATGGATCACTATTAACCCTTTGACGTGGTCATTTAAATTCCGCGGCCGCGGCTCCTGCGGTAATATATTCAGCCGGCCATTTAAATTTTGCTCGAAAATTATTTATTCATCATTGTTCTTAAATTCTATGAGATAGGAACATGAAACTTTCACTAAAATGATCTTAAAAGGTGGTTTTATAACCTTACCTTATAATATGAGCGCCCGGTATCTATTCGAGCAGTGTAAGGAAGGCCTTGAAGCATTCGTGTAACCCAACGGTGCCCCACATTCATCGCTCCAATATTGTGAATCTTTTCTTATGCTCTTTTTTTTAACCACACAGCTTCTGTGCGGTCCAGCCCTCTTCCCCGTGAGGGGTACAGTTCAAGGGAATGTCTTTCCGTGAGCAGTAAAGCTAGTGAGGTCAGCTGCAGTAAATTCAACGTTACGAGTTATCATAACAAGGGTTTGTTGCTATGCCTTTGATATTCCATCCATTTTGGCGGCTGTAGATGTCGTAGGGGTGACCACAGAATTCATGAAGTTATTCTAAGTATTGGCTGGTATATAGTGCACGAAAGCAGAGCCTAGCTGGCTCAAAAAAATAATTATGGTCATCCCTCGAAACGACCACCAAGGTCAGTACGATAAAATGGCGTCAACTGGAGCGATAATACATGAAGGAATGAGTTCTTTTTCCCTCCCCCACACACATCTGTATCGTCACAGGGGGTGACCACAGTGTTCTGCCTTAAATTGTGGCGTTTTTCTAAGAAATGGGTGCTAAGTACTGTGCGAAAGCAATCGATTTTACAAGAATAAACTTTTGGACAACCCTCTTCCAAGAATTCCAATTGAGTGTGCTACTGTGGCCAGCTCAGGGTAATATGATATTATAAACATCGTAAATATCATGTCTCTGTTGTTTATATCTTCAAGGCAAAGAAAACACGCCTTTCATAACGGTACAGCTAGAATCCGCTCGCCAGAGCCACAGGAAATTTGCTGCAAGACAGGCATATGTAACGACGACTTAGCGCAGCTAAACTCGTGTCTCATTATAAACCGTTCTTGTGACAACAGGCCAGCGAAAAATCTAACAATCTACAGCAAAACCATCAATTATTATGGGCGTTATAACATAGGTGTGCAGCTGGACGAAACATACACGTCGAACCCCCCCAGAGGATTTAAATCCCTGACGAAACATACACGTCGAACCACGGCAACGGGTTAATGGTGCTATTCTGTTTATCCTTTGCTGCTGCTGCTGCTGATGGTCTACCTCAAACATTTGCTAGACTCGCATGACACTGCATTTTGTCTCCCTCTGTGTTAGTATTTACTGTGTGCTACATAAAGTTGGGGCAGTTGGTTGATGAATTGGGTTGTCACCCTGGGGTGCTCTAAGCTCAAAGTGTTCTGTCTCCTTTTTCTGTCAGGCCCATGATCAAAGGAAGTTTGAAACTTGTGTGTAATAATTTTGGGCCACAAGAAAGATAAAACTGGTCAGAACTGGAAGGTTCAGGTGGTAGACAAACAGTTCTTTTCATCAATTTCCCAGGCCTCTTTGTTAATCAAGAAACTGTCATGCATTCATAAGCTCTATGTGTCTGTTATATACAGTCTTGTACCATTGTTGGTTTCAGAGCATTACCATTATCATCATAAAATTACCCTCCACTGCAGGAAGATGCATATTTTACAATAAATTTGTCCAATTTGTAACCTCAAACTAGTACTATTAAATCACCCACCACCCTCATCTGAATGTCAGGCATTTATAATAGATTTCATCTGAGAATACCAACATTTGTATTTTCTCTGTATGCAAACTGTCAAATAATTTGGTAGATAAGAAGAAATTACTGATTTTCCACTTTGTGTTGAATCCTTCTGAATTCCCAGTAGATCCTGTAATTGTTATATGTGTAGCTGTCAGTGTAAGAGTCATATTTTATTTTACAGAACCCACATTGCAGAGCTTATATCCACGTACAGCCTGCACTTATTTTTTTTTTAAGCTGATTGTGTTTCTCTGGTATGTATTGTCTCAAAATGACTCTATAGCACACATATTTTAAGTGTAACATTTCAAATGTTCATTTGGTCTGTAATTCTTAGCAAAAACATCACCACTCTTCAAAGAACTTTCTTCAATTCCAGTCTCTGATACTGCTATAGTGTGAACCTAGATTGTCCAAATTGAACATGGTTGATAAATAATAAATATAAAACACCTGTGATTTATGATTTATTTTATCATGCTGTCAGTATCTCAGACTAAACAGTGTTGAATGACTGGTGAATGAAGAAATACAACCACCTTGGTTGCTGGATGGTGGTGCTGCTTGGCATTCAAACAGAGGTTGGAATGAATTGGCTTCAGGTACAATTTCTGGCCAAAGAGCCTTCAAGTCTACAATACGAGTACACATATATTCAGGAAAATGAGATAACTCTCCAGCTCCATGGTCAATCATGTGGTTTGTCATATACTATTTACCCACAAATGACCTTAGTTTTTTCAGTCCCTAGGCCCTATGTCATCAACATAACAGAATCAGAACTGGGGCTTATCCATTGTCCTGTTGAATACCCCTTCCTCAAAGTCTTCTATGAGAATGATGGCAAATAAGGGGACAGTGGAGAACCCATAGCCATTCTGTCCTTTTATTCACAGAGCTTCTCTTGAAGCTGAAAAATGAGGATTTCAGGACATACTGGAAGAATATCGTGTTCCCTTCATCGAAGTGCCAGCTCAGGAGATTTAGGGCTTCTGTGACTGGCACCATGGTGACATAACAACAAAGAAGATGAGGAGGATGACTATCATCTTGACTTGGAGTGTGTCAAGAGTGTGGATGACTGTCCATTCCTGTCCTCCAAGATTATTTCCTCCCCCTCACCTCTTCTACATAACCACCCATTTTCCTAGCCTGCACCAGGTCTACAACTCCAGTACTCTCCTACATGGCATCATAAACCAGGAGGTCAAAATATAAATCTTCACAATTGTGAAAAGCTCAAACCTCATATTTGGTAAGACCTTAAAATACAAAACCATTTCAAAATTCAGTCATCCACAAAGAAACAGATTCATGTGTACAAACACATGGACTTCCTTGAGATAAAAGCATTCACACATCTCTATGAAATGAACCTAAGAGTACATGGAGAGATAAATAGCTTACCTCATTTTCATCCTGTGTGACTGGCCCTGTTATTAATAGAGGATCCTTCTCCTCTTTCAAATCAGTCATCTCGGTATGACTGTAAGATGATGCAACATATGCCTCACTATACGAATTAGGTTCTGATTTAATGAAGTCCATGTTGAACTACAAAATTAGAATATTCCAATAAGCCATGATAGGACTCTCTCCTAGTTACAACACAAAGCATATGGAAAACAAGATCACCTCTGTCTCACATTTTATTAAAGGAAATGTTGATGAAAGAGAAAGATCATAATGTTTTTTATCAGTAACATCTTCAGTTGGTGCATCCACCATAAGGGGAAGCACATGTGCCACATGTTCCAATTTTATTGCATCAGTTTTGTGCCGTAAAAATTGCAATTCATAAATGTTAGGAGCATCATCTGACAAACTCATATAACAATTTTTGGAGAAGTAAAAAGTGTTTTAGAGTTCAGACATGATAAACGAGAACATCCATCATAACAGACATACATGTGCAGACAATCTTGGTTGACGTGACTGATTGTGGCTGATATCACATTACCCGTTCACTTGAGAAAATACTGGTTTCTTACCCTAGGTGGCAGTCATAGATTATCTACTCCATGTCAAGAACTCATTATCTAGAGACCACAGGAAAACTTAAATCATTGCAATCCATTATGTTTAAACTGACAGCACTTGCCTAACAGAATATTCTATACAATTATATCTTAACTGGGCGCTGGTGAGGTAGGGTCCCACATTCCGTCGACTACATCAACCCCACCATTCTGTCCATTTATTCACAGAACTTCTCTTGAAGCTGAAAAACAAGGGTGTCAGGACATAGTGGAAGAATATCGTGTTCCCTTCATCGAACTGCCAACTCAGGAGATTTAGGGCTTCTGTGACTGGCACCATGGTGACATGACGACAACGAAGATGAGGAGGATGCCTATCATCTTGACTTGGAGTGTGTCAGAGTGTGGATGACTGTCCATTCCTGTCCTCCATGATTACTTTCTCCCCCTCACCTCTTCTACATAACCACCCATTTTACTAGCACGGCCCAGTTCTACAGCTCCAGTACCGTCCTACGTGGCATCTTAAACCAGGAGGTTAAAATATAAATTTTCACAATTGTGAAAAGCTCAAACCTCATATTTGGTAAGACCTTAAAATACAAAACCATTTCAAAATTCAGTCATCCACAAAGAAACAGATTCATGTGTACAAACACATGGACTTCCTTGAGATAAAAGCATTCACACATCTCTATGAAATGAGCCTAACAGTACATGGAGAGATAAATAGCATACCTCATTTTCATCCTGTGTGACTGGCCCTGTTATTAATAGAGGATCCTTCTCCTCTTTCAAATCAGTCATCACAGTATGACTGTAAGATGATGCAACATACGCCTCACTATTCGAATTACGTTCTGATTTAATGACATCCATGATGAACTGCAAAATTAGAATATTCCAATAAGCCATGATAGGACTCTCTTATAGTTACAACACAAATCATATGGAAAACAAGCTCACCTCTGTCTCACATTTTATTACAGGAATTGTTGATGATGGAGAAAGATCATAATGTTTTTTATCAGTAACATCTTCAGTTGGTGCAGCCATCATAAGGGGAAGCACATGTGCCGCATGTTCCAATTTTATTGCATCAGTTTTGTGCTGTAAAAATTGCAATTCATAAATGTTAGGAGCACTGACTGACAAACTCATATAACAATATTAGGAAAAGTAAAAATTGTTTAGAGTTCAGACACGATAAACGAGAACATCAATCATAACAGACATACATGTGCAGACAATCTTGGTTGACATGACTGATTGTGGCTGATATCACAATACCTGTTCACTTGAGAAAATACTGGTTTCTTACTCTAGGTGGCAGTCACAGATTATCTACTCCATTTCAAGAACACATTATCTAGAGACCACAGGAGAACTTAAATCATTGCAATCCATTATGTTTAAACTGATAGCACTTGCCTAACAGAATATTCTATACCATAATATCTTAACCCAGCACTGGTGAGGTGGGAAAATGTAACAAAAGTGGTATGGTGGGGTCCCACATTCCGTCGACTACATCAACGTCACTTTTCGTTTGGTTGTAAAACAGAATGATCTCCAGCTTAGATGTTCTCTCATCTGCATTATCATCATAATGTAATGTGTAAATCATGATATTTTTTTGGCACAAATGTAGCTATGGTGATACCGGGTTGAAAACCTAAAATGGTAGTCATTGGGCTTCTTCGTTTGGTATTGATGAACTCAGGTGACAGTTCTCTTTTATTTTTCTTGATTGTTCCTTCCATAGTTAGATTATGATCTTCTAACAAGGATTTAGCCAATGGGTAACTTGCAAACCAATTATCTAAAGTCACATTGTGACCTGATCCAGATATAGGTGCAAATCATCCTTGTAACAACTTTAGAAGGTGTATTTGAAACCTTGTATGAACCTTATGATTGTGCGCCAATGTAAACTTCCAATTTAGAAGTATAAAAGGACTTGGCATCAACTAAAGCAAATATTTTCAGGCCAAACTTTGCTGGTTTATTTCGAATGTGCTTCCGGAAACTGCATCATCCACAAAACGCTTCTAACTTTTCATTAATCGTTACATTTTCTCCTAAAGAATATACAGACTCATACACGTCACTGAACTTATCAAAATTTTCTCTAACTGGAGCCAATTTGGCATAAGATTTTTGTTCAGTTCTAGTACTTCGGTCGTAAAATCATAGACATGTAAGAAGAAAACGGAAACAAACAAGTGACATTATGCTTCTAAATAATTCAACACCGGTACCATCTATGGCCCATAGATCATCCAGATTCTGGTGACTAGACTTACAGAAGCCAGCTAAATATAAAAGTCCATACACAGCCTTTATTTCAGTCATATCAGTCTTTGGAACACTATTATTTTGGGTGTAATTTACTTGCTTTCTTTCTATTTTGTCATTTGTATTCTTCAAAACTAGGTCTATCATGTCATCAGAAAAAATATCTCCCAGCAATCTAAAACTGATCTTGTATTTTTTTGTGTTGCCCAGAACACCAGGGGCTTGGCTAACTATGTTATGTGCTCGAGTTCTTATTCAAGATCCGAACTTGTTTTGACTCCATCTTGTTTGCTTATCCTTTGCCAAGTAAGAGGCTCCCTCTGTGGATTCGTCCCCTGAAGGTTCTATCTCAGTCTTGTTCTGTAACAGACTCATGGTTACTGCCTCATTCTAAATCAATTTCACTATCATTATCTCTGCTAAATGGCTCCTCATCTGTCAAAGCGTCATCTGTAAGTTGACGTAACCTCTGTTCTTCTTGCTCATAACTCATCTGGTATAAAAAAAATTCTCAAAATACCCTCTAAATATTTATGAAAACGTATGTGCTTATAGTTGGTGTGTAAAAACATAGAAGACACAGCAGTAACAATAATATTTTAGTAGAATATACATGAAAACAACTTAAGTATCGGAAGTAAATATAGTCACACTTTTGGTAAGGTGGTGTCTGGTGGACCCCAGCACACTTTACACGTCTGCCACACGTTCTTTAAAAGTTATAGTAAAATTAAAATCATTGGGGTCTGTAACACCCCACCTTACTAATGCCGGGTTAAATTAGTTTAGTCTGTACTCAATTAACATTAACATTTAAACTGATACACTTCAACAAATATGAGATCTCAGTCATCATGTTTATGAAATGAATTACATCAAATTTATTCAACACAACAACATATCATCTGAGATGATAACAGTGTGTCCATTGATACAAGACAATGTTTATCAACAATGAATTACAGGAACTCGAGAGTTAACTCTGATTGCCTAATTCAAAATATTTCCTCTATATTCATCTGCAATAAGCAAGTAAACTCACTGCAGTCAGGACAATGCCCAGGCTGAAATTTAAATCAATATTTATAATAAATACCATTCTAACAGATTCAGAAGCTGTAAGTTCATATGGAAAACTGATGAAATTCTTGTCTCATATAGGCTTTCTGTAGAAGACAATTATTTCAATCTTCAAAATAAAACAACTCAATATGTTCAGTAAATTAAAAACCACTTAAGCCATATTCTATGGCTGGACATTATAGCCTACACACTCGGTAAGTCGAAGAAAAATATAACACAACAAAGCCACAAAACAGATAGATTACATAAGTAGCAATAATTACCTAGTTATATATGATACTTTATATCTACATAGTATAAATGTCTACTTAAAATTTGGAAAAATTTTAATGACACAAATCAACAATGGACAGTCAGACATATAGCTCACCTCATATTCAGAATTCATAACAGGAAATTTAATTACAATAGGGCCCTTGTCCTCTTCTGTGTCAATTAGCTGATTTTCATTGTGATATGATTGGTATGATTCACCATCTGGATCAGGTTCAGGCTTCATAAAATTCATGTTGTGTAAAATTGTAACTTTATATTTATGAGATCATAATTTCATTTCTTTTTCAGCACTGTGATGCACAGTGTAAAATCTCTGCACATATCCTTCTTCATTCTTCTAATTCAGACCTAAACAAAATACGAGCTGCTGCATGTTGCATTGTTTAAAAGCACATTTTCTGCCCCAAAGCAATGATTATTCTAAAATTAAATGATGACAAAACCCTCGAACTGACAACTGACAAAAACTTACACAGTTCTTATGGTCTGTATGCGAATTTCTGTAATTTCTGCCCTTCACGAGTGTATGGAAAATAAAACTAATATTTTGTTTTAACTAAAAGGTATTGTTATTAGTCATTGTTTATCGGTTATTTTTGTAAGACAAAATAAAAATCAAAACGTAATAGTTTTATTGCCTTTCCAAGTAAACAGTAACATTTTACAAGCCGTCTAACCTTCAAAACCTTACTTGGCCCGCACGTTTTTAAATCCGTCTTTATCGTTACCGATATATACAGCCAATTATTCTGCTACTGAATCACTCGTAATAATGTGTTAAATTACAATACTTACTTTAGTGACGATTTAAAGGCTCACACTTATTTCCTGTTGGATAATATAAAATAAATGTCTGCATTTGGTTAACAAAATCTCACCACAGCAAAACACAGATATCCACACTCTGTCAAACACACTGAGCCTAATGGATACTCGTTACCTCGTTACTTCTGCAGCAACCCAATCATGTCACATAAATTCGACCTACACAGTTTCGTCTAACATCTAGAAATCTAGAACATCTAGAAGGCTGGGCCCTTCAATGGAGAGATGGAGAGAGAGAGAGAGAGAGAGAGAGAGAGATGAAACACAACGTTCAGCAAAAGCTTTGTCTCGTGAAGGAGTTAAGGAGCACGCCACGGCGAAATATCGCTGAGTGGAGATACAGCTTCATGCATTCTTAAATTCCGCTCTAGACGGAGTTGGATGGACAGCTCCATGCTCCGGCCATTTAACCCCAAGAGCAAGCGTCACCAGTAATCCTCCTATACAAGCCTGGTTGGGCCTAACGTCGGTACTGACGCTTTTTAGAAGAGAAAATATCTTTCCTCAGTCTAGAATCGAACCCAAAGACATCGGTCGTACAGCCCTTAGCACATTCACTATATGAATTAAGCTATTCGGATTTTCCCGTTAAAGCATAATCTATGACGCATACTGAACCAGTTTCATATCATCCCCCCCCCCTCTATCTGGAAACCGACCGCGTTCATCAAAAGAATAAAGCTACTGCTGCATCAGATGCTGACTGGTCCCAAAGGAATCGCTGCAGCAGACCTAGGCAGACTGAAATGCTACTGAAGAAGTGATGAATTGATTGCTGTATCGCCACAGCCGCTGTATAGAGCAGTGACACGGTTTTATGCCAATAACAGAAGGCTACACATTTGTGCACTTGTCTTTGAAGATGCTGTATTAGCTGTCAAAGTCAAAGTCACATTGCGACTGACGGTCAGTCAGTCTGTCTGTCTTGGTGTCGAGCCATATGAAAGTTACTGTCCTGTTCATTTGGGGCGCCCTCTCTGACGAGAGGTCGGGTCTGTCATTTGTCAGTCAGTCTGTGTTAGTAAGTCCATTGTCAGTATTTACATATATTTACAATCTAAACTTAATTCCTATTTCTATGTACAATATATACAAGGCCTCTGTCAATCCAGGCACAGTACAGCAGATTATGCCCTATTTCTAGTAGTATTCGCTACCACAGTAGCCTAGTCACTTGAACGGTAGTATGCCTGACCGCTGCCAAGTTTAAGCCTCTTATACTTTCTGTGTCTGGCTTCGCCTTGTCCGATGTTGCAAACATTCTCATTTTCATGATTTTGTATGACTTCTGCTCGTTTCCTGCATAATTTTGTTATATAGTCATATACGTACGGGATTTCAAATGCCATGTGCAAGTCACGGACTGGTGTTCACCTTGGAAAATTGGCAATGGTGCGGAGAACCTTGTTTTGCAGGCGCTGCAATTTCACTAGATGAGTGTCTGCCGCGAATTCCCAGGTGGGACTACTATATGTCATTACAGATCTAATGAAAGCTTTGTGGAGGGTCATTTTAATGTTAGTGCTCAATCGCTCACTTTTAAATAGGGAATATACCCTAATGAATGTTCTGAAGGCCTTGGCTTCGATCATTTCTATGTGCAATCTCCATGTAACTCTTTTATCAAAGATTACACCTAGATATTTTGCACTATTTACAAATGGAACCTTTCATCCATTTAAAGTGAGACAAGACTCAGGCGGTCGACGACTACGAGAGAAGTAGACCCCCTGAGTCTTATCTTCATTAATTTTAATATTCCAGCGCTCACACCAGGTCTCCATTGAGCTGAGACCGCGCTGGAGTTTTCTAACAATAAAACCCTCCTTGCGATCTGTCACATACAGACAGGTGTCGTCCGCAAAGAGTGCCATGTGAACACCATGTGTTTGGGGGCATCATTTATGTACAAACTGAAAAGGGTAGGGGAGAGGACTGAGCCTTGTGGTACCCCTGCTTGCATTTCCCTTGGGGTTGACATTTGGCCTCCAACCAAAACCCTGAATTTACCCTGAGAAAGAAAGGACCCAATAAGTTTGGTCAAACTTTTCGAGAATTCCAATTTTGATAACTGAATGCCACGTGGTATCAAAGGCTTTTTCGATGTCCAAGAACACCGCGGCCGTAGATATTTTGTTGTTGAAATTAAGGGTCGTATGGTCCACCAGCCTCATACATTGCAATGTCGTACTGTGACGTGCACGAAAACCAAACTGGCTTGCGTTGAGCAAGCTTCTTTCTTCAATATGTTTTTGCAGTAATTTCAAAATTACTTTTTCGAATAGTTTTCGTGTCGTGGACAGGAGGCTGATCAGACGTAAATTTTGCGGGAATTTCGGGTCTTTACCGGGTTTAGGTAAAGTTATTACTTTTGCTTCCTTCCAAGTATTTGGAAAATGAGAGAGCCGAAGACAATGATTAAATAAATGAGTTAGGTGAACCAGTGGTCGCCTTGGAAGTTGCCTCAGGCATTCATCTGAGATGCCGTCAATTCCACAGGCCTTTCTCAATTTCAAGGAATTTATCAATTTTTGTACGTCACATGGTCTGATCCTTTGAGGGGGCTTGTCATCTACGGTTTCGAGCAGAGCTTGAACTCTAGCCTCCACTCGCCATTAATGGTTATCGTCGCACAAATTGTGCGGTCGGAACTGATTTTCCAAACAATCAGCAATTGCATTGGCTTTTTTGAATGGGTGAAATTTAATGCCTGCAGCACCATGAATAGCAGTTGATGCCCTTGGCCCATCCCGCTTTAGGAGGGACTTCGCAATTGGCCATATACCCTGAGGTGTGACTTCAGCGTTACCTATTTTTGTTTCCCACCGTTCAAGTGCCTTTTTTTGTATTAGTTGTAGAAGAGTAGATGGACGAGGGAACTGGAAATGGACCTCAAAGTAAAATAACAAATTCTGTTTGAAAATCTGCCCAGAGAAACTGAGTGAAACAAGAAAAATCTGTCTCATTTGCCGAGGCTTGAAGCAATTACCTTCGAGGACGGAAGTCCCTAGTGATATTTAGTCATCTGAATTTGAAAATGAGACTACTAATATTACTCACTATCTGATGATACAGCGGTGGGTTTATTGATGCCTTTTTTTTTTTGTAACAACACAGTGAAATGAAGCCCTAAGTATTGAATGGACAAAAGTTCATAGTACACATTTATAAATGTAAAATAAATAAATTATATTAAATGATAATAATTCTGCAACTTCTATGTTGTGCAGTACAAGTTAATAAATTTGTTTCGGCTTTTTCCAGTAATCCGCCGGTACCTTTGTCACATATATGTCGGATTACCAAGATTGTACTGTAACACCCTTAACATGCTATACATTTTTGCAGGTCCCCACTCCCTTCCCAAAGACATACAGTAGGTCATTTCCAGGCATCTTGCATAGGACGGCGGTGAAGGCCTGTTTCACTTCAGTGTTAGTACCGAATTTTTGTTCTTGTAGCTCATGCTTATGCGTTGGAAATGTCCAAGGATCACATGGTACGAGGTCAGGACTGTAGGATGAGTGTTCTATGAATGTTCCACCGCTCTGCTAGCACCTTCAACATCACATGTGAAATATGCGGAAGTACAGTGTCTTGAAGCAGACACCACCGTTTCTTCAAAAAGTACAGTCTCTTTTTTGGAATAGCGCCCTTAAAGGTGTTTCAAGTGCATCTGCATTGCAAAAGTCATTCATACATGTAGTTTGCTTCTGAGATGGTCTGCGCTGAAAAATGATGACCTTTTTTTAATGAAAAAAAAAAGCATCACTTTTCCTGACAACGGTGATGTGAGAAAATCCTTTGGTGGGGGTGAATCTTTGTATTTATATGCGTTTGATTCTTGCTTCGATTCAAGGTCACATCCTATTCAAAAATCACCACAGGTAACTGTAGACGATAGAACGTCACGGGTTTGTTCAACAACAGTAGCATTTAATTTGCATATATTTCTGTAAACATTCTGCTCATCATGGTCACGAGGAACCCACCTCTTGCACACTCAGCTCATATGTCTAATTCCATTGCAACGATATGGTGAATCACTTCAACGACATTGTACAGTGTGATTCAGAAAGATGGACACAATTTCAATTGGCTATATTTCCTGAACTATATGTTGCATTTCAATTCTGTAAAGTACATTTGAAAGAGGATGTTGTAAAGTTTTTAATACTACTGCTAGAGCCTCCAGCACCACGTCAGTTGTAAGCGAGATGGCTACTATGCAACAAAAGATTTTTTGCATTCGCGAGTTCAGTAAACGTGAGTCTGTGACTGCGGTGCAGCGTGCATTTCGTCGTAAGTTTAACATCCAACCTCCAACAAGGAAGAGCATTTATCATTGGAATAAACTGTTTGATGAAACTGGCTCTCTGTGCAAGGGTAAGAGCCCGGGCCGACCGCGTGTATCGGAGGAGAACATGGAGCGCATTTGAGTGAGCTTTGAGTGTAGCCCAATGAAGTCAACTCATAGTGCTAGTAGAGAACTTGGACTATCGCAAACAACTGTCTGGCATGTACTGAGGCCCCGGTTAGTCTACAAACCATACCACCTACAACTGGTACGGGCTCTTCGTGCAAACAATAGGGTAAAGCGTGTAGAATTTTGTGACCATATGCTCAAAAGCATGGAAGATGAATTGTTTCTGCCTCGTGTCATTTTTAGCGATGAAGCTACGTTTCACCTAAGTGGGAAAGTCAACAGGCACAATGTTCGCATACGGGGGCTACAAAATCCCCGTGTAACACTCGAACATGTGAGGGACGGCCCGAAAGTTAATGTGTTCTGTGCAGTATCGTTAACAAAGGTTTATGGACCTTTCTTTTTTGATGAAAACACAGTTACTGGAGTAACGTATCTTAGAATGCTGCAAAACTGGCATGTCCCTCAAATGAATGAAGATTCAGGAGATCACATTTTCCAGCAGGATGGAGCTCCACCCCATTGGCACCTGAATGTTCGACGTTTCCTGAATGAATCTCTACCTCAACGATGGATAGGTCACATGGGGAATGAAGACCTGGTACTTTAGTTCTGGCCATCGAGGTCTCCTGATCTCACACCCTGCAACTTTTTCCTGTGGGGATTCGTGAAAGATGCATTTTATGTACCACCTCTTCTCACAGATTTGAATGACCTAAGAAACCATATCACAGCTGCGGTGAACTCAGTGACGCAAGATATTTGTCGTCGAGTGTGGGATGAATTCAGCTACCATCTAGATGTTATCCGTGCAGCCGGAGGGGGGCACATTGAACATCTATATACTTCAATGTATGTATAATGAAATGTAATTTACAGAATTCAAATGCAACATAAAATTCAGAAAGAGAGCCAATTAAAATTGTGTCCATTTTTCTGAATCACCCTGTATTTTAACTATAATATAAGTTCCTTAATGATAAACCCTTCCACTTTTTCAGCAGTTATTCTGTTTTATCAATAGTCACATTTGTGGCAGCAGTGGTTGGTCTCCCACACCAAGCGTCATCAACCACCCTTCTTACAATGTGTCCACGATTGAAACACTGTAATACATCTCATTAGTTCTGTTCCATATGCATTCTGAGATTCTGTAAGCTGAAGATGCTTTCCATTCCTTGAAGGAGTCATTGCATATGGCAGCAGTCCTGGGATACCTGCTGCCTAGTGAGTTAATTGGCAATGCAGTCTCAAATAACATGGTGTTTGGAGGTATACGATTAGATGTGCAACCCAGCAGTAGCCTTTCCAAGGCTGCGATGAAACACCCGTCAGGAGCTTGCGCTACTGTGAGGATATTACAACTACCACAAATACTTAATATGGAGAATTCCACCTGTGTACCAATAATTCTGCCCTGACCTAGCTCCTTGGTTTCAAGCAACTCGTCGAGCAGACAGCATCCTGGCCCATAGTTTTCAACAAAACAACTGTAAATCTGAATATCACCAACTGCTGATGCACAACAATGCAGATGAAACTTTAAAAGATTATGTCCTGGGGCATGCACTACCACCAAAAATGTTTAGTGACAGGCAGTTTGAAGATTTGAATACTACTGCTGCTGTAGCAGATTACTGGGGTAGGGCCGCCCCGAAGATGGAGCAGTTGCATGACAATGATGTGGAACCGATCCTACTGGAGGTGGTGGCTGGAGAGGGGCCAGAGTGTAACGACATCACTGGCTGTAGTCCCACCTACAACAGGTACTAATCTCAGGGGAACTTTCTTATAGTGTGACACAGCTTACTGAAATGCCACTTGAATTCCTACGGCCAAAGACAGCCATAGTGACGTTTCCCTGGCACGAGCTGAAGACGTATTGGGACACTTCGCATCCGGCATCAGTGCTACTATATTCCAGGAGCAATAGTGAAGGGGCTATCAACCACTATGACATCCACCAATGAAGCCTAAAAGCCCTCGAAACCGGAGCCAAGGTTTGATGCACGTGTATAACACTGGGGGACTGTTCTACATGCACTACTTCACCAAGTGGCAATAAGTTAACGAAATCCCTAACCAGAAGTGTTAACGGTCACTGGTGTCCATGTGACCAACATTTTCTTCCACTTCAGGGACAAGAAACTTCACAAGGATGAAGGCTGACGCTTTGGATCACAAATGGAGAAGTTATTATGGCACATGGGATGTGTTAAGACACAGACCAATCCTCTGCACCCACAACTGGACTGTATGGTTGACAAATACATGAAGACAGTGGCGGAGCACAAATGGATGGTGTTTTCAATGTACCAAAGAAATTGGAATGAGAGGCTACCCCTTCTCTTGCTGGCTTATAAAGCATTAACCAATGAGATCACAAGCACAACGCACACCAGCATAGTTTTTGGAAAATCATCTTGTGCCCTGGGACAGGGAGAGGAAGTTGCCTATGATGCAGACATTTGCATACTGCTGCTATGTTCGTAGGTATTAACTTAAGCAACATTTCATACATGTATAGCTGTGTACCTGATGTAGCTTCATATGAAATTTCACATGCCTAACTGCAACCACTGCAGTCAAACCAAGAACAAAAGGAAATTTCTACATGGCACTCATAATGTTATGCACATTCTTAAAAAAATCCTGCCCTACAAAGGTTGCACATTCCTGATTGCAGACATGTGAAGTGTATAAATTTTGATATCAAGTTAAATTAAGAGCAGCAAAAATGTTCAAAAGCTAAAATGCAGGCTGCATACTAAAAGCATGGTTATCTCTTAAATCAATTTTTTTCATTAAGAAAGGAAAATACATTAAAACGAAATACCTCCTAGAAAAGGAAACTGAAACAAAAAAATTCATAAAATAATTTTCTGTTAAACATTTACTTCAACGAACCATAATAGAAATGCTTTCCTTTCTTCCTGTGCTTAGAATCTTGATAATATACAGGAAGTCCCAGGAGGAATGTGCCAAACTTCGGGAGGGTGTTCCTTATGTTAAAGTATGCCGATATAACCCAAAACACCTATGTCCAAAGTTGAACGGTTATGGAGATAATGGCCAGAGAAGTGTGAAACTTTGACCGGTGTTACACAATTGTTGATTACAAAATACATATTAAAACTGGCAGGAATATGTGGTTTCTGTAATGTTAATAATGTACATAACATCAAACTAACTTGTGAGTGACATGAAGCCATAAAATTGAAGTACAAAATACTCGCTCGCCATGTCATAATTGTCCTTAGGTTTCCAAGCACTATACATGACACATGACTGGCAAGCGCTGACGTAACATGGCTGACTGCGCTATAAGCTGACCACATAACTGTATTAAACGTACATTCACGGAAAATCTCTTTTGGAATTTTGTTTCCATTATCTCATGTGGATTATTATGGGACCATGTATGCACATTTCGTAAATTATTTACACCGTCCCGGGTAAAAGACGCCTCATCACTGAATACAATGACACTTAACAGTTTGGGATGAGCTTTTATCCAGTGGCACAAATCCATGCGCTGTGCATGGTCACCTGGTTCCAGATGTTGTACCCTTTGATCATGGTAAGGATACAACTCTTCATCATGTAAAGTTCGCCACACCTGCATACGTGATACGCCGATGCGAGAGGCCATTCTACGAGTGGACAGACGTGGACTTCTCTGAACCATCTCAAGAATGTTCTCTCGTGTGTTCATCATTCGTACATCCTCCCTTTCAGAGTGCACAGAAACACTCGGAAGACAACCAGTATCACGAAATGTCTGGTGAATTCACGTAAATACACTTCGAGATGGAATCCTTCGATTGGGAAAACGCCTTTGGTATTCTTCAACAGCATCACGTGCATTGCCACCGCAAAATCCACACACAAAATGCATATCACAATATTCCACGTGTGGAAACACAAAAGGCATTTCAGCAACTCCGCACAACTAATTACCAACCATTCATGACGCGGCTGCAACGTACATGAGCTTACAGCTAGTGTGAATCACCACACTCAAGGACAAACATAGATAAGACGTCTCAGCTGACAGGTACACTGCGTGGACCCGCCAGAAGACCACACTTTTCTCAGGCCATTATCTCCATAACCGTTCAACTTTGGACATAGGTGTTTTGGGTTATATCGGCATACTTTAACATAAGGAACACCCTCCCGAAGTTTGGCACATTCCTCCTGGGACACCTTGCATATGGATGAAGGAACACCATAAATCATGATACACATTTTACATGGTCTATCCTGGGTGTGAATGAATATGATGAATGACTTTATCTATCATTTTGTCTGCACCGAAAAACTCCTTATTACATATTTCACATCGATAAGGTTTCTCACCAGTGTGTCTACTAATATGTCGATTCATTTGTTGCTTTCTAGAGAATGCTTTACTACATACAGAACACTTATACGGTTTTTCACCAGTATGAGTTCGGAAATGACTGGTCAACACACTTCTTTGAATGAATGACTTTTTACACAATGTGCACTGGTACATCTTCTTGTCAGTATGAGTACGAATATGTTTCACAAGATATGATCTTAATGAAAAAATTTTACCACAAATGTCACATGTATATGGAATCTCACCTGTGTGAATACGAAAATGATTGATGAGACTAATTTTCAGAGAAAAACGTTTGTTGCAATCTTTACAGGAATATGGCTTTTCTCCTGTATGCATCCTAAGATGATTCACAACAGTTGCCTTTTGTGAGAAAGACTTGTGGCAGTCTTTACAAGCATATGGTTTTTCTCCGGTGTGAGTCCGCATGTGTACCTGTAAGCGAGACCTGAAAAGGAATGCTTTGGAGCACAATTGACATGTATATGGCGCCTTTCTATTTTGTGTAGTGGGATGGTACCCATACTTTCTTTTACATGTTTCACTGTCACTACTCTTCACGTCACATGCATTTTGATTTATAATAGTAGGATTATTAATTTCCGTTGAAGTACCAGGTGAAAATTCTGCTTCACTCGAGACATCAGAACTTTCAATGACCCTGTGTTTCCTGTCAATAATGTACATGTTGCCACATGATGAGGAATAAACGCCTTCTTCACAACTGACATCTCCTTGAAAGCCAACCTTCTGCGCCTCACTGCAACAGATAAACCAGAAAACATAAAAACAAAAAATGTTTAATTTCTTGACATTCATTAAATTTTTTGCCCGTCAGAGCAGGTACTGGTAGAAACAGACAGTCGCAGACACCTCAACAGTTTAATTATGTACCTTGAAAGCAATGAGTTTTGAGTGAAAAATATATATGAAATATATATATATTAAAGGGAACAAAATGTGTGTATTAAAAGAAGAATTAAAGCATGAGCAGATGAGTAGCTTCACTTGAATAAAAAGCTGAACACTAATAACATTAAAGCATTCGCTGATGTCTTGTACTGATGTTGAAAAATCCAATCCTTAAGATTACTAGTAACAGTGTCCTAGCATAACCATACTCTGAAGTGGCTGGATGGCGAAGTGTGTCGACACTTAATTTGCATATCTCCTTCTTCTCATGAGGTACTGGTAAATATCCACTTCATCGTACCTCACTGATTAGTCTATTCTGACTGTACTCAGAGAGGAGAGTATGTGTGAAAGTTCTTTATTATGTAAACTCCAAAGGTCTCTGGTTTGTTTGCTTTGTTGGGAAACTTTTGTACTGTGATGTCATGCAACTGTAAGTTATATTCTTCTCAGACTCTAACATATGTCTGCAAAGTAACCAGAACAGCATAAAAAAACTTATAATCCTGTGATTTTGGAAGCCATAAACTGACAGTTCTCAGTTATAAAATGATAATGAATATACAAACAATGAATTGCAGCACAAAATTATGTGTAATATTACTTCAAGTTTGAAACATTCAAGCAGGAATATGTGCATACACAGAACTACCCACACATTCATAGACTAAGTGTTCCCTGTGTGTGGTATCCAAGTTATATGTTTTAGAGCGGATCTGAGCATAGCCCCTACCAAGTTTATGCATGGAGTCCATGCAACTACATAATCTTAGTAGGGGCTACGATCAGATCCACTCTAAAACATACAATTTGGATAACCAAGAGAAATGCAACAAATAACCAATGGATCACATCCCACAAAATTGTATTTATAACCTACATGACAACATAGTGGGAAATAATGCAACAACCCCCTTCAGCATACCAACATATGTCTGCTAAAGTTTGCACATGACCTAACACAACTTCTACTTTGAAATTTCAAATATCAGTGTTTGTAGTATATTATTATGTCATTTCATGTCAATCACATATCATTTAAAATTCCATCCACTTTTTTATCAATCTTTAACTTTTTAATATTGTAAACATATTCCCAAGATACATTTGCTACAATACAGCAATGTGTTAACTACTACAGATCCGTATTGTATCCAATCTGTTTAATTACTTGAGATATGTTCATTTAAGGCCTGATGATGGCCGAATTATGTAGTATACCTATATTTCTAATAAATAAGTAAAATGTACATTAACATCTACTATCTCATTGAAGATATTTCCATACAACTCGTTGTGTTGTGGTGATGGTTATAATACATAAAACAATCTAATACTATATACACAACAGGACACAATCTATAGTTTAATGAAGAGGTAATTTTGGGGAGATTTTCTGAGGGAAAAAAAAACAATGAATAGTTTTGCTATACAATGCATGAAACAAAATTTTGATTATATATATCAATATATATCAATGCTGCATTAAGTTCAGAGACTGTAATATATTTTATACCACAGGCAGATAATAGATGGCAGATTATATTTACTACAGGATGGTGTGGGGTTTTATGTAGTTTTGTCATTACTCCGATGACAACCCACTTCTTCGGAACAGTTTGTTGGTCCTGAAAAGGACCGTGGTTGCTGAGATGTTTGATCGGTGAGGTAGCGTGGCGAGCGCTGGTAGGGAGAGAGGTTAGTTGAGGTGAGTGGACTGGCCGCAGTGCGGCCGCTGCTTGATCGCAGTGCGGCAGATGGTGGAGGTTGCTTGATCGCAGTGCGGCGGCTGCTGATGAAAGGCTGGTCGTTGAGCGCGGTCATAGGAGTGATGAGGTAGTGGCTACACCAGATGCCCAGTGGGTCGGACAGGGACATGACCACCGGCGAGTCCAGGCGAGGTGCCCCAATGAGTCGGGTGTGAGAGAGCTGGAGGGCCGAGGCAGTCGTGCCTGGCGCAGCCTGCCGATGCATCCGATGCCGCTGGCGATGAAGCCTGCTGGCTGATGTTGCTTAAGTGTGGCTTGTTCGTAGACTGAAGTCAAACTCATGATGCCGGTTTGCGGCTGCTCCTTTTTATACACTACCCGGTGGGCGGAGCGAAACTTGAAATTGAGGAGAAAGAATTTGCAGGGCGCTCATTGGCTAGCGCGCATGATGATGTAGATGCGGGGCTAGCAGCGAGCACAGTATAAATGCGAACGTTTGGAGCAATTTGATTGGTTAGCACGCGTGATGGTGAAAAGTGATGTGAAGAGTGTGCATTGCAGAAAATGCGTGATAATGTGGGATGTTCCCACAATGATTTTGATCTGGTGGAAATATGAACAATAAACTGTTATGTCAAATAATACAATGTACAACATAACAACATAAAGAATGTGTGAGCTGTAACTTAGAAGTGATGTCTCCTTCAAATATGAGGAAGACACAAGGACACAGGGACACAAGGAAAGACTGCATAATAATATTAATTTAGATAAATTATTAAGAAATATTATAAGCTGCTAGTACTGGATAATAACTCATTCTACAGCCTAGTTTATTTCCAGTTCCAAGTTATGCTAGATCAACTGATCATTCTTCTATTCATCACTTCAGTATATATAAAATTATAATAACTGTATGCTCACCTGCCAATAAATACTTCATATTCCTCTGTTGTTATTTCAGTTTCATCATCTTGCTGAAATTTCATAAGCTCCCTCAATGCATCCTGAAATTTAAAACAGCCAACAGTATGTAATGAAAGAATTCTTATTCATCCTTATGTATTATTATTCTCTGTCCTTTCTAGTGAATTATGATAATTGAACAACACTGTCTCTTGTGGGTGAAAACTCAATAAATGTAATTTCTGTTATGATCTTTTAACTTATTGGAAATTTGTAGGAAATACACAACCATCAAATAACTTCATTCACAGAACACTTGTATCAGTTCCTGGAGACAGATACATATACCAGACCTTGCCATTTCAATATTAGATTTCTTGTTGCATGGATGATTTGTTTTATCTTTAAATGTAACAGTAGAGTTCCTGCTGGTACTGAGAACTGTGGTCTGCAATACTTAAGCAAACAACATCTAATTTCTGTATTGTGGCAGTTCTCTAACAATGTTATGTTGCCTCCAGGGTTACTAGGCATTAATATAAAATATGGAGTCATACTACTGTATATATGTTAAAATAAATAAATAAAGAACAACAGAAATAACATTCCTCAATCCTGTCACTCTTCCATATCCAACTTACACTTACAATTGAAGAAATGGTAAGGACTGAACGCAAAATATGAAACATGTGCAGAGATAAACAACAAAAATATTTCTCAATCCTTCAAAAACTGTTTCCTACCAAACATACATTTACACTAGGATAAGAGATGAAGAACGAATCCATGCAAAGAGAAAAGTTGTTTTGAAGAACATTCATGTCTTCCCAACTCCCTCCAGGATTATCATACCACAATACATAAGAATATGTCATGATAAGCTTCCTTTCATGTCTTCCTCATTCACAACATAGTTCGGTGACGCATAATCTATGCGTTTTCACTATGCTTCATCAGATAACCAAGGAGCAAACACAGACTGCTCTTAGTGCAGCTTTCTTTTGATGAACAGAGACTGACACAATTCCTCTCAGACACTTCTGTAACTTCCTTACACACCTCCAACGTTCATATAAAAATATAACGATTTACTAAACAGTAGGTAAAAGAGGCTAAATATAACTACATCAGACCAAAATGAAGCCCCTCACCTTAGTCTCTGGCACATTATCGGTATTTTCCAGGGGATCCTGTTCATAATTAAGAGAAATGAATTCGAAGTCACCCTTCAATGACGCAGATTGTATCTCCGAATCTGAATCAGGTTCTGTTTTTATAGCATTCATGATGTGTCGAATATGTCATTTCAAGGACTGCAAAACTTCTTGATTCTCAATTTACACGCAATCTGGCACTTGCTTACATAAAAATAAAATTGGAACAAATTATCGGTATAACATTCTGCCTCAAACACATCATTAGTTCTTCTGTTCGTTCTCTTCTGCAGCACACACACTTCTATATTACGATACCAGCAGTCAAAAAAAAAAAAGTCACGCATATACTAAGACCCAAATCAAAACGTATTTGAGTACCATGTTACTACTTCGATCATTGCACACACGGATAACTGTACTAACTGAGCAGTCAGCGCGCAAGAGCAACATGCCGTGATTATATAACACGTAAGCTGTGTTTGAACTGTAGGCGAAAGTGCATTTTTCAGGCGGTTTGAGCACTCGGACGTTGGGGTTAAAACGGAGCATGAGAGTGCCGGCCAAAATAATTTATATAAAGGAGGTGGTTTAGGATTGACAGTTTGAATGTATTATTTATGGAAATGACGTTAAACGTCGGCATCGACGAGACATTCGATAATATGCAAGGATGGGAAAGCATATCAGAGAAAGGGAAACTTATGTGCTATATAACGTGGCTCTTACTCGACGGTTCCGTATTCCATCCTGATGGCCGCTTGTGTACGGAACTCAATTATTGGAACTATGTTTCGTTAACTCTGCTGCAGTGGTCCGCCAGCCCTCCCAAACGTTCAGCGTGCACCCCCTTCCCCGCCCCGAAACGGCTACTTGCTGAAGGAAATCATCCAATTTTATGACATTCCTGAACCCTGAGCAGTAATTGGCTGAAACAGGTGCAAGCCCAATTTTCAGTTAAGAATAATATTGGCGGGGATTTCCATCCTGAAATGAACGAACTTTCCTTTCCAGTCCGCTCCAGATAATGTCCTTGAGTCAAGCAAAAGAACAAGACGAATTTAACCGAATGCCCTGACGAATAGTCCATAAATTTGTGTTCTTGCAGTAGAACTTTCCTCTACTTCAGCCAACTCGTGCCAGTTCACAATGTCTGATAAACGGTTGCAACGGTTACAACCGTTACAACACTGCAGCATGTGTTGGTGCTGGGTACGGCCATCTGTATTAAGAAATGTGAATCATAACAATATGGCAGTAGTTCCCTCTAGTGGGAACATGATGAACTGCTCACTGTGTTAGGCGAAGTGCAGACCGTGCAGACGGCCTAGTGCTTAGCAAGTAGCGTAGTGCTAAGTGCCATGCAAAATGCTTTAATTGTAGCGTGTTGACGCCAATGGCGGTAGTCCGCTAAGCGCTGAGCTTACTCAGTTTCACAGGCACTACCATGGCATTGTAAAAATTCTCTAGAAACTTGTTATTATCAGAAAGGATTTATTTGAAATCGAAAAGTAGAAGGGAACATGATGAAACGGTATAGCGTAGTCGGTGTGGCGACTGGCTACAGGCTGGAAAGCCGAGGGGTCGGAGTTCGAGTCCCGTCGTATAGACTGGCTCTGTGGTCGACCAAAACTCCTATGCAATGGGTACCGAGGGCTCTTTCCCCGGGGTTAAAGCCTCAAGGTCGTAAAGCTGACCACTCACCTCAAACTAGTGTCGAGGTCAAGAAAACGTGGATATATACATTCACTCCCCCATACACCTTCATGGCATAGTACTTACCCAGCTAAGCACAGGGTAAACTTTTAGAAGGAGACAAATGTGTTCATGAGTTTAGTAAACAAAAGACCAACGTTTGGAGGGTTATGCCATCTCTATAGGGACGCAAGAGTTAGTTCCAATATGTTCAAAGATAATTTAATCATGTTAAAGGATATATTTAACACTGTTTTCTTTGCCTTTGTGAACCAGGAACTCACTACAGAGAAAACCTATCTGCTGAACAACGTAAACGTAAGGAAAAGAGAAAGTCTAATTTTATTTTCATGCTCGTACTATATTATAAACATTCAAAATGGTGATATGTACTGAATACTGGAATATATTGATGGCTTGGTTATTTCAAGTAGAAACGTGTTTTGCCCTGGTATGTTATTGATGCATGAAACATGTCAGTTTTCTTTCAGCTTCTTCTACCTCATTTATTATGAACTCCCGAAATGTCATTCGTAGACTACGTCTCCGTCACTGTGGAAAAGATTTAATAGCAGGCAAAAGAATAAAAAAAAAACAGAAAATCGTCATCTTCGACTCTTTCCATGTCTCTTTCTAAGAAGCTCAAGTTCCTTCTTCTCAGTCATAATCACAGATCTCCCTGGTCTTTAGTCCGCAAGCGAACACTACCGACCGAGCGACCGCCGCTTGTCGGCGAAGTTAGTGCCAACTTTAGCGGATAGAGTGTGTCGCGTGGTCAGCGCAACGAATCCCCACGGCCGTTAATCTCGATTTTCTAGACCGGAGCAGCTACTTTTCCATTCAGATAGCTCCTCAGTTATCCTCACGAGGCTGAGTGGACTCCGTTCCAGACCCACTACTTCTCAGAAAATCTGCTAGTTCCGGGAATCGAACCCGTGACCTCTGGATCTGTAGCCAGGAATTCTGACCACTAGACCACAGAGGCGGTCCATAATCACAGAGTCACAGATTTTGGTTTTACAACTTTCTTTGTTTCCTTCCGAAAGTAATCCCTCAAATATTTCAAATCTTTTTTCTTTCGATTAAAACATGTAAACGTCATCCTTGGTCTAGCAAAATGCGATCTTGGGTTCAGCTCGCCCTTTTGGCATTTGTCTCTGTTCACTTGGTTGCCTGACAACAACTTTTAAACACATAGCCCATTTTAGTGAAATCACAAACAAAAACAAAACAAACTCCATAGTCTGTAGTCCGCAAGAACTATACCGACCAAGCGACCGCCGGAAATCACACCCACCTAAAATCATTTGAAATTGTATGATTAGTGATATGTTGCCAGACAGATTTTCGATAATAAATTTAAAAATCGGCCATGCATTTCCCAAAGGTAGAATGATGAAAACAAATACCAGTCATAGTGTGAGTCATTGATTCGGTCATTTCAAGAGGTAGCATATTGCCACGTTTATTAGTGATTTTATTCACGAATTTTGTTGGGTTCCCTTTTGTGTTACTGACGACTGCCGTGTCAAGTGAATTGTGTTGCAAGAAGGATAAAGGATGTAAATACTTTTCAGTGATAGGTCACATTGTCCTAATTTTGTAATTATGCAGTACTCATTTAAATAATATTCAAAAACTAGTTTTTGACTCACGGTAAATGTACTGCCTATTATAAAGGCAAATTATTTACTGCTCTATGGACAAAATGCGAAGGTCTCTTCAATGTTACGTCAGAATACATGTTGTAGCCTTTATGTTTCAAAGAGTTAAGCGCAATTTTTTTCCAAAACATGAGCGTCTACACATCATGAGGACTAAGAGACAAAATATTTGTGTTTCGAATACTGAAACAGCACCAACATTTTGTCTTCAAATATTTAAGAAGAGTCACTCATTTGAGAGAAATGAAACAGGTTGACAAGGGGTTGGATGTAATTTGTTAGGCAAGCTGTAAACTACCTTCATGGTGCTTTAAGAGAAGAATGTCCTAAGAGCTCAGTCATCGAGATATTTTATAACCGTTTCCACTCTACTGCATTGCTGTACCTCATGCAGAGTTTCATTAGCTTCAGACTACAAGAATAAAATAAGCCGTCATTTAGCACCTTAGTGACATTGTTTTTTCTTGTTTGGGAATCATAAATGAAAGTTACATCATTTTATAAACTTACCATCATAAAATTTTGTGGCACTATGCTACAAGCCAGAAGGTGGCAGGCTCAATTCCCGATGAGGTCACTGGATTTTTCAATCAATCTAATCCTTCCAACAGCACTGTTGCCCTAGGGTCGACTCAGCCTCTAAGAGAAATGAGTACTAGGAATCTGTCCAGCATTAAAGGGAGGCCAGTGCTTAAGGTTGACAACCTCGGAACCACCTGTGAGCCTATTATCTAGAAAATGTGGGAATCTTGACATCTCACAACCCTATGGGTCTTCAAGGCCTGTCGCATGGATCACTTTACCTTTTTTAGCATACACATTTCAGCTTTAAATTTTACTGTCATAAAATGTTTGTGTAGTATTGTTCTCACATTCAATACTCAGACGTGAGCCATGCTAGATTGAATTAGCTGAGAATCGCATAGATTTCATGCTGTCATTGACGAAGAAAGCTTTAGAGTTAAGGCAGAAACTCTTCTGCTCAAAATGGAAGCATCTGCATAACAATATTCCGCAATATTGTTAACACTGAGAGAAGCCCACTAGTCTGAGGTTTATATGTGGCACATCTATGATTACTATCTAAATTATGCAAGAAACAGGCAGAAGCTATTCAAAATAATTTGAATCAGAACATATATGCAATTGGACAAGGAGAAGCCATGCAGAGGAAATACAAGGAGCTCAAAATTGGCATCGCATAGGTTTACGTCTGTTCAAATGTTATCTGTCGGTTTTGAATGATTAAGTAATTTAAGGCACAACTTGCTGCAGAAGCCTGCACTGGCAGAGGGTAAGAATGTTATGTGTTTTCAATGTAGTGATATGTATCACTAAATTGTAAAACAGAATAAAAAAAAATAAAAAAAAAGCACACACACACCTTACCCAGATGCTTTATGAATACAAGGTAACTCATTCTGTGTTGTGTTATGGTGCAGTAGAAGTATAACATACTATGAACAAGCAACAGTCAATTCCATAAAATGGAGGTCCAATACCCAAAACACCAAACTAAACCATGAATCTTAACAAATGTGGTCATGAGTCCCGAAAGTGCCTGAAACCAAGGACGACCCTTATGGTGGAAGCTAGCAGAAAATTACTGCTCTGCCCCTAAGTTAACCATGAAAATGTTAACTGTAAGTTTTTCCAAAACATTGAAAATCTTTCAACATTCGATATGGTCTAGTCCTGACATCAGAAGTCACATGGCTGTATTTGATAGTGTCAGTATTTTTAATTTAGGGAATAAAATGTATATTTTCATAAATGGTGAAATATTTCTTGTCCAACTGAAATGAGACAGAATTAACTCCTTTCTTTTACGAGGGTTGGAACTTTAATAGTGGCAACTATTTATTTACAACTGATACAAAATAGATGCATGTTTCGAAGTTTTACTGTCATTCAATGTAGTCACCAGCATTGTGTACAACCCGTTGCCAGCAATGTGGAAGTCGTAGGATACCTTTAGTAGTGCCTGTTGTGTTGATAGTTCAAATGGAGCGATCTACTGCCTGAAGAATCTCTGGAACAGTTCTGAAGCGAATGCCACAAGGT